CCATGTAATCCGCACACATCTCGGCAAAGTCCCGCTCCAGCACCCCGTAGTACAGCCCGTAGAAGAGGAGGGAGATGCCGAAGTCCATCGCATCTTCCGGTTTGATTCTGCAACAGAAGCGCCCAAATGACATCAAAAGCTTTTTTTTTTTTTTTCCTGGCTGCGGGGGTGCAAAACCAGCGTGCCGACACAGCCCACAGCGCTGACTCGCCCGTGAGAGCGGTGCACCACAGCAGGGGACACACGTCACCGGGAAATGTTCCCAGCCCCACCCCGCTCCCTGCTCCTGGGACCCTTCACCTCAGCCATCGAGAGGCAGCATGTGAGCGGAGACGCGGGTGTAACCCCCCAGCTGTCCAAACCCGCTGCCCACCGCCCTCACCAGCCTCTGGAACCTCCCCAGCTCTCTCCCGCACCCCATCAGCTCCCCGTATGCCCCCCATTAACACTTCCACGTCCCTGCAGGCAGCTGCCAGCTCTGCTCATCAGTCCAGAGAAGGAACCGACCTCTCTAAACACAGAGATGGCTTGGGCTGGGCTCCTCTGCCACCACGCCGGGGCTGGCTGCAGGCACCCTTTTATCAGCCAAGAAAATCCCCCCACTGCCCCCAGGCCGGGCACGCGCAGAGCCGGAGGAGCTGCCGACACGGCCGAGCTGGAAGCGGGGCTCCCCAGCAACCCTGACCCGTGCAGGGAGAGGACACCCCCAGAGCCTCTTTGGCCCCGTTACTCAGATTTAACGGGATAACTGTTTTGCCAGAGTCGCAGCCAACACCTTATTCCACACAGTGTGCGACATCCCCTGCCCCACGAGTCGCTCGGACCAGAAGATTCACTCACCTGAATAATAAGTTAAGCCCAAAAAGTGTGAACATCACCGCCATGTACCCGACGATTCCCGTGGCATAGCTCATCTTGTATATTAGTAGAAACCATTTATAAACCAGCCTGTAAAGAATTCAAACAAGCATTTAACGGTTTCATTTTTCCTGCACCAAGCACCTAAAGAGTTTTATATTTTAAACCTGGATGTTGTTGTTTGCAGACACCCCACCTACGAACACCCGTGAGCTGTAAATTCCTAACTCAAGCTACAGGACTGCTCACGGGCTTCCCTTCCAAACTAGAAACCTCAGGATCTCCAAAAAGCCGCCAGCAAGTGCGCTTCACGCTGGGAATGCCCTTGGTGAGGCCACCAGCCCACGGCATCTGCCCCTCCGCCACCCACATGCACCGGGCTGGCTGTCAGCAGCCGCTCAGAGCTTCCCGCGGCCGGCACGGGCAGCACGGGGTGCGCATCCCCGCGGTGTGCCACTGCATCACCCAGGGGCTGAACTACAAAGATTTGCGTCAGCGAAATTAGAAAGAGCTCTGTGTAATGGTTATCCTCAGGCTGAGGGGTTTACCCAGAAAACCAACCTGGGTGTTGTCTGTACCAGAGGTTTTCGAGTCGCCCTGAAGGTGACAAAAGCTGTGACTGCTGAGAAGAGCACCCAGATGACCAGGAACCGCCACCAGTTCAGCTTGATGGTGAAATACAGAG